TCTAGGTAATTATTTAATAACAACAGGAGACAGGCTTGTGCTTCCTCCCCTGGCGAGTGATAAGGGATTTTCCTGGTTTCAGTTTCAAGGTAGCTCTGACTTAGTGGCTCAGAGTGCAGTCAGATGGAGGATCAGATCCACCTGCTGCCGCCCTGGGGGGAGCTTGGAAACAGCACGTGGCTTTTCAAGTATTAAGAAGAAATGAAAGACCGAATCTGTTCATTGTAATCTGTGTATTAAGGAGTCTGTTCTCAGCGGTCTATGTGCTGGCCCGTTCCACGGACATCACTCTTCATCTTGAATCAGGTGACCCGGGGTGGTACCCAGCCGGAACTAGCTTCCTGAGGATTACCCTGACGGAAGCGCCGTGGAGAAAAGATAGAATATGCCTTCTAGGTCTTCCCATCATTGGTCCTACTGATATCCTGATCAATGAGACAGAGAAAGAAAGCTGGAGCCCAGGACTCCAAGTCCTACTGCTCTCTGGGCTCAGAGAGGACGACACTGTGTGCCGGAGTGTCAAACCTGTATATTCGATGTATATTCGATGCCAAGACACCATCTTGCACTCATTCTGATGGCTACTATCAAAAATCCTCGGAGAGAAAGCAGCAAACACTGCAAGAATAAGGAGAAATTGCAAACCTATGCACTGAAAGGTGGAAACGTAAAATGGTACAACCGTTGTCGAGGAACTGAATGGAGCCCCCTCTGAAAGGACTGTCTGGAGGACAGCTCAGTAGCAGAGAGGGGCTGGAGAGAGGAGAGAGACAGAGACAGACAGAGTGACAAGGAGAAACAGAGACAGAGAGAGGAGGCTAAGACCAGGCAGGGTAGCTCATACTTGTAACCTCAGTACTTACAAGGCAAGAGGGTTACAGAGAGGTCCAGGCTTAGGCTACAGTGTGAGACCCTGTTCCAAATGGCCAAAATGCGGCGGGGGGGGGGGGGGGGGTGTACCATGAGTTACAAGGTTATATAACAGTTTTACTTGTGAGTGTGTACCTGGCAACAGGGTCACCCAAGGCTGTTTGTACGTCTGTGTTGGCACCAACATCACACATGATAGCTGAGCTATGGGAGCAGCCAGTGTCCTTCGGGTCTCTGGTGACTGCAGAAGTCGAATGGGGGACATTGTACAGTGAGGTCCTATCTGGCCTAATATAGGAAGGCGACCCTGTCACACAATACAAGAGGAACCTGGGGGACAACATGCTAAGTGAATCAAGCCGGTCACACATGATGAGGACCGCTTGATCCCAAGGCAGAAAGTAAAATGGAGGCCTCTAGGGCCTAAGGTAGCTGAAGAATTCTTGTGGCTACGTGGCTTCTGCCTTTTAATGGAGAGAGTGACAACAGGAAAAGCCCATTTATTAACATTGATGCATGCTTTAAAGAGCCTGAGATAAATAAATGTGATTTCGTGTGGCCGTACTTCGCCCCAACTGTATGTAAAAGTAACTAATGCTGACAACAAAACTTTAACCTCAAGATTTTCTTCTTGGAGAATTCAGTCTCCCAAACTCTTTGCTCTCATTGACCAAGTAAAGTACCTAAGTCATAATTATTATTTATCTCTGTGTTAAAAATACCACTATTCTTTTTAAAACAAGATCTCATTACAAATCCAGTCTAGAACTCACTATGAAGAGCAGACTGGCCATAAACTCATGGTCCTCCTAAGCCAGCCTCCCAAGTACTGGGATTACTGTAGTCATCATTCCTGGCTTGATTTTTTTTTTAATAAGCTCTGCCCTTCCTCTCCTTTCTCCTTTCCCATCTGTCATCTTCTCTCCTTTCCCTCTTCTTCCTCATTGCCATATAATATATATATTGTTTTATATATATAATCAATCTATGTCATATATATATATATATATGGTGCTGGGGAGTTGGGAGGGGTAGAGAAAGAAAAGACTATGCTGCTACAGTCGAGTGCAGACATCCTCTTCCGACCACTTCGGTACCCACACATCGATGCTCACATATACACACACTTTAGATCTTAAGAAAATAAAAAAGGCCAGCTGTGCCACACAGCTGTCCCCTGCAAACAACCCCCAAGAAGATCTAGCTGTGTTAACAAAAGTATCTCCAAGATAGCTTGCTAAATCAAGGGAAAGAAGGCTCAGATCAGTATTTAGAAACATAGTTTTAATGTCTGTGCTTGAGATAAACATCTAAAGGAGAAAACTAAGAAATGTTTCGTTTTGCTTATGTTTAAAAAAAAAAAAAAGTAATGGAAGTAACTATCTATAGGCCAGTGGATCAAAGAGAGTTTGATCACCAGATCCCATGGTATAAGGAGAGGATCAATATTCAAAGTCACCCCTTGATTCCAACATGTGCTGAGCACATGCCCCCCACCCAATACAAGTTATAATTTATTTTTAAAGTCTCTTCTGTTATCCATTTTCATTGCAAAATGACCACAACTATTTTTATTAGTTTCTGATCAATACTCACCCCATCCCCTACTTCCCCGATTCACCCCTCCCCTCCCTAGGCACCCAACTTTCTTTTATTCTCACCCCTCAAATCCAATTTGTGCACCCCTATATTCTTGGAGGCATGGCCTTCCGATGAAGGTCGCGTGACTCACCAGGGCCTACACTCCTAGAAAAAACTGGCTCTTACTCTCCCAGAGCTATTGGTTGCCAGTAATTCCCAGCTATGTGTGGGCGGGATTTTGTCTCCACTCCCCCTCCCTCCCCTCTTGGGGCTGAGATTTAATTTTTAAATAGTTATCTTTGGGGATAGGAGTAACCTGAATAGATGGAGATACTGCCAAGTGAATTGGCTGCTCGGGGTATACGTAGTTTGACGTTGTTATAAGACTTCAATCAGTAATACACCGTTTACTTAAAATGTTAGAGCAAATGGTTCAAAGGACTTCGAGTATAGGTGACCGAACCCCACTTACCGTGAAATTTCTTTTCTACCCATAGAGTGACAGTCACAAACTGTCATTGGCTTTTCTGTCTTTCTCTCGAAGAGGCAGCTTCTGTGTCTCCCCACTTCTCCCCTTCCCCCTTCTCTCTCCTCTCCTCTTCTCTCTCTCTCTCTCTCTCTCTGTCTCTCTCTCCCTCTCTGCTCTTCTCCCCTTCTTCCTGTGTCCTCCATAATCGACTAAATAAATATTCAACCTCATTCTGAAAAAAAAGAACTGTCATTGGTAGGACCCCGGATTAATTGTGTCAGAAGTCTTACAGGCAAAATGTCAAATGTGTCTTGAGCTGGGTCTGGTGGCTCACACCTGTAATTTCTGAGTTTGGGTACCTGAAACAGGAGTACTGCTTCAAGCTCAAGGACTTGGCTAGCAAATTGGGTTCAGGCCAGTCTGGCCTACAGGACCAGATCCTGTCTCAATTTTTAACAAATGAATCTAAAATGGATTCCTGCCGGAGAGCAACAATCCACTCCTGATAAGAACAGAGGTGGAGCCGTCTCGGGGCTTGGGCGGCAGACAGAACTGCTTCCTGAGAGGGAAAGCCTGCACCACAGGCTTCCCAGCAGCTCTGGGCACCCCGGCCTCAGCCTCACACATTGCGGGAGTCTCCTCCAGCCCTTTTCGAGCGTCAACTTCGGAGGTCGCTGCCATCTCCATTACGAGCCTGGGGTTCTGTTGCCCTTCGGTTTAGAACGCTGATCTGCTGGGGGTGACCAGAGGGAGCCAGCAGCTTCCCCTCCAGGGCTTCAGTGCGGTTGCTGTCTTGTGCAACCGACATGATGCAGATGCATGACATTCTGGGCTGGAGAATGTGGGGCACTCAGAGCCAGACCGAGAGAGTGTGTGGGGAGACAGCTGGGCTTACCGGCTTGCCAGAATCAGGGAGGGGGAGCGAGCCGGAGACCACTTATCTCCCCCCCACCACTCCCCTTTCCCCATTCCAGGCCCAAACTCCAGACCAGCGTGTCTCCAAGTGAGGGGGGGGAACGGGAACATGGGACAATGCCACATGTAAGGGATGTTAGGAAACCCAAACACAGTTCGGCACTGATGTACTTAATTTGGTTTATAAAATTGCAATTTGCAATTTCTGTGGAATCCTCTGTTAGTGTTAAGAGGGAAAACAAAAGGGCTCAGTTGAACAGAAGACAGGAAAAACAGAGTTCCGGACTGGAGTCTGTCGCCATGGGGCTGGAGACGGCTCACAGGTCGCTGGGCCGTTCTGTTAGTTTCCTTATCTGAAAAACGTGATGATAGCCTAGGCAGCTTCACAGAGGTTAGATAGAAACATAGGAGCCACAACTTAGATCTTAACAAAAGGCATATGTGTTACGGAAATAGCTTACTTTTATTTTTTTAATCTGAAAAGATTATTAGTAAATATAGTTTATATAGCTTGATCTGCTTTCAAGTAAGTGGGCTTCTTCTTCTTTTTTTTTTTTTTCAACCTGTCCAAGGCCTGTTGCTACAGCTTTCTGAAGGTAGCTTTACCCAGCATCAACCCAGGGATTCTGGGTGATGCCAACCACTCCTTCCACCCCCCCCCCAGTAGACATGTGACCAATCCGAGCAAACCCGTCCCAGACACGTGACCCATGCTAACCAATCAGGGCAACAAGTTTCAAATATAGCTTCCGGTGGAATTATTAGACAAGTCCATCTCCTCAGAATAGGTGGCAGGCCTGGGGGCTCTAAAATCCCTCCTCACTCCTCCAGAGGAGGGGCTGCGGGAAAACACCCACCAAGACGCTGCTGCAGTCCCTAACGCCAGTTCTGCTCGGTGACCACTTCAACTTGACCAGTCTGACCAGCCAGTCACAACCATCCTCCTGTATCCTGGCCCCTCCCAGCACTGGGGCTCCAGGGCTCGTAGCCCTTATGTGGGTGCTAGGGTTCCGAACTCGGGACTTCACGTTCGGGCAGCTCTTGCCCACCGCATCACGTCTCTAGACCCAGCCACACCCTTGGAACAAACACCCAACTGTCTGGAACCAGATAAATATTCTTCGTCAGAGCACCCAGGGGACATTTTATAACAAAGACAAATGACTAGAATAAAAGAAATATTTTTATTTTACCTTCTTAGGCATGAAGTTCCAAGGAAATACACATTTGTAGAAATGAAAAAGAACACCAAAATGGGGATAACGTTAGAAGTTGCATGGAATCTGCAGAATGGGGTGATTTGGGGCCTTCTCGGTCTAGCCCGTGTAACAATTGCTGTGGTATCTGTCCAGAAGAGAGCTGTCACCGAATCATGAAGCCCAAACAACTGCAATGTGTGCAGGGTACACAAAGCAAAATGGACAACGTTACTAGGTAGCACAGCCTAGCTGTTAACATCAGAATAACTAGTGAGCTAGAGTAAGTAAAGCCGGAGATACGGCACCTCACACATCCCCAGTCATTGTGGGATTTGTTCATTCGTTCACACGCGCATACATTCAGTGGGCATTTATTAAGCACCGACTGTGTGCCCGAAGGCACTGTGTTGAACTCTAGGTTAAGGCACATGTTCCGCCCTGAAGGAGTGAGTGTCCAGGAGTCTCCAGTGGACAGGCAGAGAGCCGCCCGCATTCTGGGAGGTTCCGATGTTCCTGCTCAAAGCCAAGAGCAGCATGCATTCAGTCAACCACAGTTCCCACGGGAAAGGTGCCGGCTCCCCTTTCTCTTCACGATGACGAAAGGCCACTGTCTTTGTGTCCCGGGACTAACGTGGCATTGTATTACAGCGGACTCACAAACGTTTGGTCGGCAGTTTGCACCCCTCCACGCTTGAGGACACACAAGACGTCATGGCACAAGTGGCTGCTGACGCTCACCCAAGCAGGACTCAGCACTTACGTGCCCCTGGATCTCCAGGAGTCCCCTCACCAAGGCTGCCCAAACGGGCTGCTAGGCCCTGGGCAGCTCCACTTTCCCAGACTGCGATAGGGAGCTTGGGACCTCGTTGGCACCTCCAAGGCCATGTCTTCTCTACAACATCTGTCTTTTCTTTAGTCAGTTGTGAGCCGGATGAAGAGGCGGAGTCTGCAGACCTTGCTTAGGAAAGGGCCTGACTCCCCTTCCACATCATGTGCACTGAACCCCGGCCACAGGCATTGAACCAGCCTGCCCCTGGGTTTCTAGGCCCCCCTTCCCCTGTCTTGAATTTGCGTTCTCGCTGACTGGCTTACAGAGAAGAAGGGCAGTTTTGACATCTAAGCTGCCATCCTGAGCCCATCCTACCAGGAATGAGTTCCTGTGCCACCAGTTAACAGCAGCCCAGAGCTGTCACTGTGGCTGTGTCGGGGAAGCAAACCAGCCGGGGAGGCTGAATTTCCAGACCGAGGTCTTCTACACTGCTTGGTGAATGTGCATAGTAAATGGGTTTTGAAGCCTTGACTGTAAAAACGTTGTGCCTAAAGCACTAAAAATCAGAGTGCTTTAGTATTAATTTATTAACTCTATCTTTACCATTAGGGTATATAATCACTATGAGTTAGATTGTGTAACTGCTCTTGGGATGAAAATGTGTGCAGCTCATTGTGGTTTTCAAAAAGCAAAATTTTAAAGTGACTATGTCCTGATTTGGCTGCTCCTTTTTAAAAAAAAATGTATTAAACTTAACATTTTTTCACTTAGTGTATTTTCACCGATCATACATAAAAAGTCTAAAGAGTCTATACAAAAATAATCCCCTATTTTCCATAAAATGGAAAAATTTTCTTTTCTGCATATGAGTTTGTCCATATAAAGATTATCTTAGAAAATATAAAAATATCGCTAAAGTGTCATAGCTGCTGAGCTTTCTCTAGGAAAACATACCTTTGTAAATAGAACAACTGCTAGAAATTCTTAATGGAATTCAAGTCCCGGGTGTGCCACAGATACGTCCTGATCAGGGCGACACCCAAGCCCCTCTGTCCTCTGTGCCACTTCCAGAAACTGTCTGCGGCATTCGCTGAGTGAGCAGGATGCCCAGGCTTTCAAAAGTCATCGTTGATCTCTGTGGATATCCTCAGGGTGACGCTCTACGGAGAGGGAGGGGAGCACAGCAGACAGGGAAGCAATCCCGTGTTAGCTACGACATTCTCAGACGCTCTCGGCCCCCTAAGAGGTGACCCCACTATTGCGCCACGCTTGAATTGAGCCCCAAAGGAGTTCCGGCTTTGTACATCAGTTTGGCCCATGACTCACTTGTTCTCTGTGGTCAAACATGCTAAGTTCTTGTCTTTTCAACAGCACAAAGTTTTTTACACAGTCATATTTTCGGGGTTTTGGAACTAGTGAGATCTACCTGAACACAGACAGGACTTTGAGCCTCGAACAGCAGACAGCACAATGTTTCACCGGTTACGAGTAGTTAGAGCTGTAATCTGATCTATCCCCCTTTGGGAACAAGCTAATAAAGTTGTGTGCGACACAAGCCCTCCCCCCAACACACACATTATTAAAAGGGAATGTTTTTCAAAATGCAAGAACTTTTCTAAATTTTCACTAATCCTAATCGTCACGGGCTCATAGAAGGTTTAAGCTGATGAATCCTTACCTGGAAATCTTGGATGAATGTTAGGAAATAGAAAATAAAACCAAAGGCCACGATCCATTCACAGATGGCGCTCACTACGTGAAACACATAATCCTAGCAGCGAGAGCAAAGAAACAGAGGTTAGGCTAGCGGGCTCATCCAAAGGAAACAGAGGTTAGCCTAACGGGCTCATCCGAAGGAAATCCCCCAAAATATGAGAGAAGCAGGACCAGAGGAAAAAGCTGCCCAATGAACATAGACTGTGACCACGAGGAAATGCCAGGGGCAAAGACTCGCGGCGAGAGCTCGGAGACCAGCTGGAGCCTGATGGGAAACGCACAAACGTGCCCAGAGTTCTATACGGCTCTCGCTTCTTGTTTGAAGACTCAATGTACATGACTTCAAAATTAGGTAGATTAAGGACCACAGAGCAGCTGAGACCTCGAAGCACTTGAGCCCCAGTGAAAATCAGAGCTTGATTTGATTTGGTTGCCCTTCCCTGGGGACCCCATAGTTGAAGGGCACAAGGAAGGGTCTTGTGGGCTCTCCCAGGGATGGCCCAAGAATGAGTGCGGGCATGCAGACAAGACCAGGCCAGCCCGGCATCCCGCTGGGTTTGTGTGTGTCTCTCTGCTCCTGTAGGTGTTAATTGTGCAACCAGTTCTGCTCAGTACCATAAGAAAATACAGCTGCACAGCAGACGCCAGCAGCAAGACACCCATCGAATAAAGTTCCCTTTGGGGAAGATGGAAGCCCAAATCAGGGCCTCGGAACTCAGCTGTGCTTGGAGGTGAGGGATAATGAACCAGACAGTTGAGATACAGAAGGTCAAAGCCCGTGGTTCATCAGCTCATCCCATTTCTTTGGATTCTATTAAGTTTTACATTAGTTTATTATTTGTAATCTTTTTTTTTTCATTGTTGAGCCCAGCTCAGCGGTTGATTGCATTTGATTGGTGGTGAAACACTGCCACCTAGTGGCTGAGGATTGAAGTACATCCGGAGTTGCTCAACGGTCATGATGTCCTCCAGTGTGTGTACCTGTGTGTATGCGTGCGCACGTATGAACGCACACTCTTCTTCCCCGCCCAGCGTAGTTCTGGAGTCCAAATCCTAGTCTGTAGACCAGCAGCTGCCTTGGACTCAAGAAGTACAAAATGGCCAATTGCTCCTGTTCATAAGTTTGCTTCCGTACTGTCTTTTGGAGCTAATTTTCACGTGCACTAAGCTGATTCCAAGTCACACTGACTCAACGTTTTCCAGCCCATTCTAAGAAAGGACGGGGACTCTTCCTAGGATTCACCAGCCACAGGCTCACTGACCCAGGCTCAGCAACTGTACCAAAGATAAGTGGTTACCTTTTCTTTTGGATTCCATTCCAGCTTGGTTATAGAAATTAGTGAAGCACAGGCAATCACTTGAAAAGAAGGAGATGGTTAAGGAAATGGCAGAAGAAAACAGGTCTTTTACTATTTACTATTACCTACTAATGATCTATTAACACGATCATTACACAATATTTAAATATAATATTTCTACAATCAAACCAGCTATATGAATTTCTTGTCATCTCAGACCCTCAATCATGACAGTAGCTAAGTTACAACCGGGTTGCAGAACACTTTCCTGGCAAGCCCAGGGCTGTTGGGAGCAGTGAGACCCCAGATCCTGAATTTCTTGTAAACAGCTTGTCCTCCCCTGATCTGAGTGAGTACAGCTGCTCTGAGCACGAGACCTTCAGGAGTTCCTGATGGCAGGAGAGTGGTTTCTGGTGGGTTTGGCTGGGGCGTGGCTATCTCTATATAATCTATATATATTGAACACAATAAAGGGGGCATTCTCGCGGCTTTGGTATCGGTGTTAAAAGGTCTGCCTGTCAGTCTGTGTCTGCGTCTGTGTCTGCGTCTGTATTCTCAACCTCCAGACCCTTTCCTGAAGCTCGCGAACTGGGTTCTAGCGCACAGAGCGCAGACACGGGGGGGGGGGGGGGGGGGGGGGGCTGGCGGTGCACGCCACAAGGCCTTGGGTTCAGTCCCCAGTTCCACAAAGGAAACACATAAATCAACAAATTCTAGCATGGAAATGCAGTTATTCCTTAGCCATCCTTTTTTGGATGCTGGGGTGCTTTGAATAAGAATGACCCCCGTAGGCTTGAATGCTTAGTCACTGGGGAGTGGAACTCTTCGATAATATTAGAAAGAGTAGGGGGTGTGGCCTTGCTGGAGGAAGTGTGCCACTGGGGTGTGCTTTGAATTTCAACTCAAAAGCACAGAAAACTTAATTAACAAAATCATAGAAGAAAACTTTCCCAACTTAAAGAAAGATATCCCTATGAAGATACAAGAAGCTTACTTGGATCAAATGGACTGGATCAAAAAAAAAAGGCCCCTTGCCATATAATAATCAGAACACTAAACATACAGAATAAAGAAAGAATATTAAGAGCTGCAAAGGAAAAAGGTCAAGTAACATATAAAGGCAAATCTACCAGAATTACACCTGACTTTTCATTGGAGACAATGAAAGCCAGAAGGTCATGGTCAAGCATTATGCAGACATTAAGAGACCACGGATGCCAGGCCAGACTACTATACCCAGCAAAACTTTCAATCACCATAGGACAAAACAAGATAGTCCATGACAAAACCAGATTTAACCAATACCTAGCCACAAACCCAGCCCTACACAAAATACTAGAAGGAAAACTCCAACCCAAGGAAGTTGGCTACCTCAACAAAAACAAACAATTGATGATTTCACAGAACAAATCAAAAAGAAGGGAAAAACACACAAATAATATAACCAACAATAAATACTAAATTAACAGAAGATAGCAATCACTGGTTATTAATATCTCAATATAAATGGATTTAACTCACCTATAAAGAGACACAGGCTAACAGATTGGATTTAAAAAAAAACAGAATCCATCATTCTGCATATAAGAAACACACCTCAACCTCAAAAATGGACATCACCTTAGAATAAAGGATTGGGAAAAATTTTCCAATCAAATGGACCTAAGAAACAAGCTAGTCTAGCTAGCCTAATATCTAACAAAATAGACTTCACACTAAAATCTATCAAAAGAGAGAAAGAAGGACATTTCATATTAGTTACAGGAAAAATCCATCAAGAGAAAATCTCAATACTGAACATCTATCCCCAAATACAAGGGCACACTCATATGTAAAAGAAGCACTTCTAAAACTTAAATCATACATTAAACCCCACACACGAATAGTGGGAGACTTCAACACTCCACTCTCACCACTGGACAGGTCAGTCAGACAAAAATTAACAGAGAAATAAGGGAACTAACAGATGTTATGACTCAAATGGACTTAACAGACATCTATAGAACATTCCATCCAAGCATAAAAGAATATACCTTCTTTTCAACACCTCATGGAACCTTCTCAAAAATTGATCACATACTCAGTAACAAAACAAACCTCAATAGATACAAAAAATATTGGAATAACCCCATGTATCATATCGGATCACCATGACTTAAAACTAGAATTCAACAGCAACACTAATTCCAGAAAGCTTACAAACACATGGAAATTAAACAATTCTCACCTGAATAATCAATGAGTCAAGGAAGAAATAAAGGGAGAAATTAAAGACTTCCTAAAATTCAATGAAAATGACCACATAACATAGACAAATTTATGGGACACAATGAAAGCAGTGTTAAAAGGAAAGTTCATAGCCTAAGTGCCTACATAAAGAAGCTGAAAAAAATCCCACGCTAGTGAATTAACAGAACACTTGAAAACTTTAGAACAAAAAGAAGCAAACTCACCCAAGAGAACTAGACAGTAGGAGATAATCAAATTGAGAGTTGAAATCAACAAAATAGAAACAAAGAAGACAATGCAAAGAATCAATGAGACAAAGAGTTGGTTCTTCGAGAAAATCAACAAAATGGACAAACTACTAGTATCAAGTCATTTATTTATTTACTCTTTACTTCCGCCTTCCCTGCACCAGATACCACGCTGTCTGGGGGTAGATGGGACCACGCTGTCTGTCTGGGGGTAGCTGAGGAATTCAGTTAAATAGACTTAGTCTCAACACTCCGAGATATTAAATTCCTGTTCGACAAAGCCCAGAGAACACGGTGTGCTAGAGAGAAGGGAATGACAATGACTCAGAAGAAAAACACGAACAAACAAACCATTAATTCAGTATGCACTGGCATTTGGGGCACTGTTGGGGAATTCATCACAGAGCTCGGCTTCATCTGAGTTATTTCTTTGAAGGCCTCTCTATGGTAGCCATGCCCCACAGTACTAGAATGTCCTAGTTGCTAGTATTCATGTTTTTAAAAACCAAAAAGAGCCGGGGCAGTGGTGGCACACGCCTTTAATCCCAGCACTCGGGAGACAGAGGCAGGCGGATCTCTGAGTTACAGGCCCACTTGGTCTACAAAGTGAGTTCCAGGATAGTCAAGACTGTTACACAGAGAAACCCCATCTTGAAAAATCAAATAATAGTAATAAGTAATAATAAAATAAATGCAACCAATTTTAATAATGTATCTTATTTTATCCAACTTAACTAAAATGGTATCACTATAATAATATTAATATATTATTTAGTGTTGGGCTTTTGTTTTGTTTTGTTTTTCAAGATAGAATTTCTCTGTGAAACAGTCCTTGCTGTCCTGGAACTTTCTCTGTAGACCAAGCTGGCCTCGAATTCACTGAGATCCGCTTGCCTCTGCCTCCCGAGTGCTGGGATTAAAGGCGTGCACCACCACGGCCCAGCTTACTGTTATTTTTTATACTAGTAGATCGCATATATTCTATTAACTATAATATTAGTGGTGGTGGAAGAGAAGCAATGGCTCACTGTCAACAGTGTATGCTGTTCCTGCAGAGGACATGGGTCTGGTTCCCAGCACACACAGCTGGGCAGCTGACAACTTGCCTATAAACCTCAGCTCCAGGGCATTTGATGCCCCTTCTGATCTCATGGGCACCTGTACACATGCATACATAATTTAATTAATAATATAAATAAAATATTGGTAATGATATCATTTTAATATGTCATAACATAAAGAATTATTAGCGTAAGTTGGGTGTAGTACCTCATGTCAGTAACCCCAACACTTGGGAGGCTAGGACAGGAGAAATGGAAGCCAATCTGAGCTACATACTGAGTTTAAGTACATTCACAATCTCCCCACAAAAACAACAACAACAACAAACAACCACCAAAAGAGCAAAAGGAGGAGGAGGGGGATCTAATGTTGTCATCTAAACTACCTTCCTTTTTCTTACCAAGTCTTTGAAATGAGTGCGTATTTTACGTTTATGAAAGATCTCAATTTGGGATAGCCACATTTCAAGTGTGCAAAAAGCCAGGCAGTTACTGTGATGGACCAATAGTCCAGCTCTAGGACGGCCCCTGGGAGGAGCAGAGGCAAAAACAGAGAACAGGAAACCACCATGTCCAGGGGAGAAGTGTTACAATGATCATGTGTCTCAAGAACCCCGTGATGCTCTGTTCTCTTCCTTTCTTCTCCGCTCCCCCTTTCTTTCTTCTTTTTTTCTTTCTTTCCTTCCTTCCTTCCTTCTTTCCTTCCTTCCTTCTTTCTTCCTTCCTTCCTTTCTGTCTTTCTTTCTTATTAATTAATTAATTTATTTATTTTTGAGACAGGGTCTCGTTATGTAATTCTGGCTGTCCTGGAACTCACTCTTTCAAACAGGCTGGCCTTGAACTCCTGGAGATCCACCAGCCTCTGTCTCTCAAGTGCTGGAATTAAAGGCTCGTGCCACCACCACCCGGCCCTTTTCTTTCTCTTTCTTCTTTTCTTCCTTTCCCTCTCTCCTTTCTTTCTTTTGTTCTTTCTTTTTCTGAGTCAGGCTTGGGCTATTACCATCATGACTGGCTTCTGTGAAGTTTTTGGAAGCTTTACAAGTTGAAGCAAGATGAGCCAATAAGCAGGAGAAATTTAGAAGCCTGGTATGAAATGAAAGGCCTCCCAGACGGGCGTGGAGGCTGGCACATGACTTTAGTCCCAGCACTCAGGAGGCAGATGCAAGGGGATCCAGGACAGAGGAATAAAAGAGACTGCCCTCACTCCATGGTTCAGTTTCTTCGGGAGTCAGTGAGGCTGTTTCGTGCGAAAGAAATATGAAGGAGAAACATGGGCATTCTGAGGAGCCGTTAACGCCCTTCCAGAGAAACAGTACCACAGAACAGCTGGAGGCCACAGACTTTTTCAGGAGGAAGTTTGTTGAAATCCATTCGGGGGAGTTTCTCGCAGGGATTTGACCTGCGTCTGTGAGGGTCTCTGATCCTTTGGCTTGGCTAGAAATACGAACCACCTGGACATGAGACCAGCAAATGGAAATGCTTGGATGGGAAACTGAGGCTGGCATGTCTGTGCTGGGACTCTCTGGTTGGAGTATCAAGAGATTTGCCTCGTCGGGGCAGTGGGGGCACAACGCCTTTAATCCTAGCACTTGGGAGGGGAGGCAGAGTTCGAGGCCAGCCTGGTCTACAGAGCAAATTCCAAGACTGGCTGAGGAAAATTTGCCTCTAGAAGTTGTAAACAACAACAACAAAAAACTGTTTACAAAGCTACAAACGTCCCTTACTTCTACATTTTACAGTCAACACAAGCTAAAGATTTAAGGAAATCTCCTTTGAAAGTCCGAACATCTTCAAACAATAAAGAGGACAAGGAGAAGCAGGAGTTATCTTAGGAGTGAAGGCTGCAGTGTGCTAGTAGACAGCTTAGTCTTGGGGCTTAGTTCCTCCTTGACTAAAAATTCCATAATTATATTTCCCCAAGACTAGGAGAGGAACCCAGCTAGGTGGTGCATGCTTTTAATCCCAGCGTGTGCCTTTCACCCCAACACTCGGGAGGCTGAGATGCAAGGCTTGCTGCAAGCTCGTGGCCAGCCTGAGCAAGACTCTATCTCAAAACATTAAAGAAAACAAAAGCAAAATTGCATACTCAGGCCACCTGGTGTTAATATCTATTTAGGGGAGAAACAGGGAGCTCAGAGTTTAGTCACACAGCTCTTTTTTTTTTTTTTGTCAGTTGATGGGTTTGTAATGTAACAGTAAAATTGCTGAAAAATATAGACCGCTTGGCGAATTTGCACGGCATCCTTGCGCAAGGGTCTCTGTCACCCCAGTCTTACCGCGTGTGCTGCCAAAGTGAGCACAGAGCTGAGTGTTTAAAGGACAAGATGTGTCCCAGAGCTTGGCCACTACACACCATGACCTGGACTACATTGCTTACAGAATAGCACACACACACACCCCAATTTTCTTTCCTGCAATCTGACACAAGATCAAAAGATAGAAAACTTTCCACCCTTGGAATATGGTATCGCTTTTATTTTCTTGGTTTAAATACTTCATTAAAGAAAGAAAGGTAACTGGGGGTGATCATACACACCTGTAATCCCAGCACTTGGCAGGCTGAAACAGGCTGGCCAGCGGGAGTTACATAGTCTCAAGCAAGCAAATAAACAAACAAACAAAATACACACAGGAGAGGAAGAGAGAGAGAGAGAGAGAGAGAGAGAGAGAGCTTCCGTTTTCTTTTTTTTACTGAAAATAGATTTTTCTTTGATACACTCCATCCCTACCACAGTTTTCCAGCTTTTCCCTCTTCCCATCTCCTCCACACCTCTCCTCTCCCCTAGATCCACTCCCCTTCCACTTCCCCTCAGAAAAGAGCAGGCCTCCAGGAGACAACCACCAAACCAACAAAACCAAAATACAATATGACAAGGTCAAAAGCCTTCACATCGAGTCTAGACAAGGAGGGAAGGGATCTTTCTTAAGACACCAGTCCCGTGAACCCAGGCTGATCCTCCTGCCTAGGCCTGTCAAGAGCTAGACCTACAAGCATGTACCATCATGCCCAGCTTTCATTTCCTGTAGATCAGAACATATAAGCATGATTAAATATTCGTTTCCTTTTTTTTCTCATTGCTTAAAAAGAAAAAAGTGAATTTCGTACTGAAGACAAGAGCGGCCACTACAGAAAGGCTAAGCATATCTTGGTTGACTTAGTCACGAGTGGTAAGAGTTTAAGAGGAAACTCCCTGAGTACAGCCGAGCTGGTCAAACTGCCACGTCCCCAGCGGGCAACGCGTCTAGACTCTGGGGGATGTCGCAAAGCTACTTCTTTAAGTGCAATGCCAATATTTGATGTCTTTAACCAAGCACTTCAGAAATATTAAATATTTTCATGTGGCTTGTGAAACCGACTGGTGGGAAGGAAGTGTCAACAGGCTCAAGTGTACCTTGCTTTTTTTCTATCCCCCTTCACTCCTTCCCCCCAAAGCCTGTTTGGATCTAATTCTTCTGTAGCACTGTACACTTTTTTCCTATTTCCTCTGAAGAGAACGGACAGCTGGCAAGGGAAAACTCAAAACTCCTTCATGCTTTAGGAACAGCGGCATAGAGGGAACATCAGACTTGCTGGGACAAAGATGCTTTGCTTTAGTTGAACTGGAATCTGGATCCTAAACCTTCTCCTGGGCCCATCTACGCCCGTCAAAATAAAGAACAACTTAACTGGGATATAAATTTAGAATAGGAAATCAATTTAACTAGCCCCTGATTAAGGTTAGTGAGGTGGGCTGAATCAGAATGGCCCCCCACAGGCTCATATAATCTAACGTTTGGGTCTCAGTTGGTGGAAATGTTTGGGAAGAGTTCAGAGGCGTGGTCTTGTTGAAGATGCGTCACTAGGGGTGAGATCTGAAGTTTCAAAGGTCTTTGCCATTCCCAGTTACCTCCCTTTGCCTCACGACTGTAGATCAAGATGTAAGTCCTTAGCTACCGCTCTGGTGCCATGTGGGCCTGACCGCCTGCCTGCTGCCATGGTCCCCTCCTCCTTACCCCATGACAGTCACTGGACCCCAACCCTCTGCAAAGGTAAGCACCAAATAAACTCTCTCCTCAATAAGTTGCCTTGGTCATTTCCCAGCAACAGAAACAAAGTAACTAAGACAGATATAAAGTGTCTCCATCCCAGCCCCCAAAGGTTCAAGCATCTGTGGGGGACTTGGTCCCAGCAGGTGGTACTACTGGTAGAGATTCTGGAAACTTTAAGAGGTAGGACCTATCTGGAAGAAGCAGATCACTGAAGTCAGTCCTTGGGTCAGGGCTTGGGGTGGCATGTCCCAGACTCCTTCCCCCACACCTCCTCCTCCCTTCCCTGCCTCTCCTCCTCCCCTTCTCCCTCTTCCTCCCCTCTACCCCTTCCTTTCTCTTTCCTGTTCATAACGAAGCGGAGAAATCCCATGCCCATATGCTCCAGTTGTCACGGTGTTCTGCAAGAGCTTCTGGGTCCAAGCAACCATGGCCTGAAGTCTCAGAGACAGTGAATGGAGTCTAGTAACCCATCTCCTCCCAACTGATACCATCTCTCTGGTGAGAGTCCACTCCCTCTGTCCCCAACTCCTGGGATATTTGATTGCCCTGATTGTGTCTTGTACAAGAATCCCACCTAGGAAGTTTAGCTACCTCAAGGTTTCCTTGGTTCTCTTCTACCCAGTGACCCCAAGTAGCTCCCTCACTCTAGGCTCCCACTTAGTTTGTCTTGGCAGACTGGGAAGGGAGTGGGTGTGGCTTATCTCTTAAAGAGACAGGACAGACCATTACACGTGTACTCAGTGAGTCTCTCCCTATTGCAAGACCCCCACTTGAGCAGCCCCCCTCTAGAACAGACCATATTTTTCCAGCTGACATGTGGAAAGGATACTGGGGATGACAGCTACACAGGAAATGGCAGAGATGACCATGCGGACATGACACGTGGTGTGGCTGTTCCACTGGGGACACGATTTGTAGGAGATGACCGATTGCAGGAACGTGTAAACCACACCGCAGACGAAAGCCAGGAGGGCGCCGGCATCGTGGACCGCAGGCATAGCTAACTCCTGCAGAGATCATGAATGGGTTCTGACTCCATGGGGAAGGACTAACCAGAAGCCACCAGCCGCTCCTTCACGCACTCTGGGAGGCTCCAAGCCAGCGATTCTCAACCTTCCTAATGCTGAGACCCTTTAAAACCATTCCTTACGTTGCAGTGACCCCCAAACATAAAATTCTTTCCGTTGCCACTTCATAACTGTAGTTCTGCTGCTGTTATGAACTGTAATGTAAATATCTGGTGTGCAGGATATCCGAGAGGCAACCCCTGTGAAAGGGCCATTTGACTGCCCCAAAGGGATCGCGACCCCCAGGTAAGCACTACCTTCAGTCGTCAGCAGTCAGGAAGGTAGGTGTCCATTCAAGTATCGGTATGAGAAAAGCCTCCCCTGCTGAGGAACACCTGCAGCTGAAGCCCCTGGCTCCACCATTATTCAGGTACAAATGGGAAAGGAAAACGAGCATCCACCCTGGAGGAGAGCTGGGGATGGGCCTTAGAGCCTGGCATTCTAAATCAAGTCATAACTCCTCTATGAGACTATGACCTTAAGGTAATTAGAGCCTCCGTCTTGGTCTGCCGTCTACACAGTCGGCTCACAGTGCCGACTACAGGAGAGTATCTCCTATAAAACACTGCATTTGGAGTAGGGCAGTGGTGGCGCACGCCTTTAATCCCAGCATCGGGAGGCAGAAGCAGGCGGATCTCTGTGAGTTCAGGGCTAGTCTGGTCTACAGAGTGAGTTCCAGGACAGCCATGGCTACAGAGAAATCCTGTTCAGGAAAAAAAGAAGTGCACTTTTGCATTTAGAAGCCATGTGAGGCAGCTCAAGCCTATTATTTCAGTACTTAGGAAACCGAGGCAGGTGAGTTACTGTGAATACCAGCACAATTGCATTCATATTCTACAGTGTGCTGTGTTATTTCCTATAACTAGGATATCTAACATGGGCATACAGATATAGTTCTATATGAAAAGTAAGGGACAGTCTATGTTTTGAAATATGTATGCCCCTTTAAATGTGGGTGTACGTACAGAATTCAGAAAAATAGCCAATGAATAAGATAGAGAAAAGTACTTAAGACGAAAATTCTGTATTATGTATATTTTACCATAGTTTTAAAAGATGTCTTTAAAGAATTGAGAGAAACAAATCCCTTTCATGGCTTGAATGGGAAGCAAGTTTGTGTGAGGGCAAAATAGAAACCAAGGGCCCCTTCTGCTAATGAGTCACTTTCAAGAATAGTCGGAATTCGGGGACTTTCCACATTCACAGACATCCTGAACTTGAATCCGTTTTCTCCTCCCGCTGTAAGAACATTTCCTTCCTCTGCCCTGGTCATCTTGACACATCCTTCTGGAGCTTCATGGATCCCCTGGGGATGCTTGTCCTGCCATGATCATATCGAAAGGCTCCAGACTTGGCAGGTGTAGCATCTCTGATGGGTCTTCTTCACAATGGTCTATGTACTCCGTCACTAAAGGGGTCTTAACTTAGGTGTGGGGGTACCCATATCTCTCAGGAAGCCGAGAAAGGGGGATCAAGCATTCATGGCCAGCCTGGGTTACATAGTGAGATTTCATCTCAAAAATCTCCCTCTCTCTCTCTCTCTCTCTCTCACACACACACACACACACACACAAAGGAGTACACACACACACACACACACACACACACACACACACACACACACAGAACTTCATGTATTCCAGGCTGGCCTCAGACTCCCTATGTAGCTGAGGACCTTGAATTTTGTATCCCTTTGCCTCTACCTCCTAAATGCAATAGGCAGACTTGCACCATCCCCAGAATTATAGGGTGTTGGGGATTAAACCCAGGCCCTCGTGCATGCTCAACAAGCTGTCAACTGAACCACACCCCCAGGTTCCTGTCTTTAGAAAGGGATGGTTCCTAGGTCACATATGGATTTTGGGTGGATAAGGTGGAAAGCTTTTGCAAGTTTCAAAGCCATGAAGTGCAGAAAACACCAGAATACTGAGGGGTTAAACTTTGGGTATTTTCTTTTTGCCATAATGAACACCTCAGTAAAAAAAAAATAGTTTTAAGGTATAAATAGTAATTGTATATATCCATGATATTTATGTAAGTTTTGTATATGTTTATAATGCGACCTGATCAAGATAAGCTCTGTCTCTGTGGTGACTGTGCACTACCACATCTGGCTTGTTTTCCTTTGTTTGTTTATTTGTTGATTGAGATAGGTTCTTGCTTTGTAGCCGAGGCTGACTGCCAACTCATAATCCTCCTCCTTCAGTCTTTTGGGTGCTAGAATTACAGCTGTGTGCCACCACACTAGGCTTATGGGTTTTTTGCTTGTTTGTCTGTGTGTTTTTTTGTAAGAGAGAAAGAGAGAGTGTGCATGTTCATGCAGGCTATGGTGCATGGTCAAGACAACTTTGGAAGTCTGTTTTCTACCTCTATGGTGGATTTTGGGGGTTGAGTTCAGGCCCCACAGCAAGGGCTGACTCTGATGAGCCATCTCATTGCCCTGATTTACAGCTCTTAATTGGCTTTTTTTTTTTTCCAGTTCATCACTTTAACCACTTGACTGTGACTATACAAGCATTGGATTTTCTTTCTGTTCTGCAATCAGCCACTCTTTTTTGCTTTGTTTTGGTTTGATTTGGTTCCTGGTTTTTTGAGGCAGGGTTTCTCTGTGTAGCCCTGGCTGTCCTGGAACTCACTCTGTAGCCCAGGCTGGCCTCAAAGATCCACCTGCCTCTGCCTCCCAAGTGCTGGGATTAAAGACTTGTGCCACCACTATTGGGCTTCAGCCACTCTTTTATTCCATAAAATAAACGGTAAAATAAAATTTATTTATAAAAATAAAAAGTAAGCGCTCCCTTGCTTCGGCTCCTTTAGAGTCGACTATGAGGGAGATCGTGCGATAGTTGTCTTTTCTGCATCTGGCTTATTCCATTTTGTGTGGGGTGCTGTTCATGTGTGTGCAAATGTGTGTATGTGTGTGTGTGTGTGTGTGTGTGTGTGTGGTGTGTGGGTGTGTGCGTTCATGCGTCCACACGAAAAGCAGAGGTCAACCTCGGGCGTCATTGCTCAGGAGCCCCCACCTTGTTTGGACAGGGTCCCTCACTGACCTGTAACTCACCAATCGTGTTAAGCCAACTGACCGGGGATCTGCCTGTCTCTGTGTCCCAGTGCTGGAGTCACCTGAGTTACGTGGGTTCTGCGCACTTTATCAGTAGACAGCAATCTCCTGGCCCCTGGCTCATTTCACTTAACACGCTGTCTAATGCTATCACTTCACAGGTCGGAATTCTGCGCAGAAAAGGAAGCCCTGGCAGAAATAAATGAGGCAAGCACAAGGCAGGTAACCTGCGCACCCGGTGGGGGAAGGCAGGTAACCTGCGCACCCGGTGGGGGAAGGCAGGTAACCTGCGCACCCAGTGGGGGAAGCAAAGCTGTGGCCATCTCGGGAAGATTTAAATGATCAAACTCCGGAGCCTCCTCCAGTCTCTCTTGGTCTCAGAGTTCAAATTCTTCTCCAGGTCCACGGCTTGTAGCAAGCTAAAAATGTACCACGGACCCTCAAACAAGGACACTGTGGGGAAAGGTTTAGGAGCGCACTGACAGGGCAAACAGTGGGCGTCTACGTCTGGATTTTTGTAAGGACTTAACTCATGGACGCTTTAAGGTGAGTTTAGGAGAAAATTTATAATATTTTCTTCACAAAGTCTGTCCTTTGTGATTTTACACCCTATAATGCTATTCAGGGGAGAAAGTGGTATTATCATAGCATATTATATCAAAGCATATTGTATCATATTATCAAAGCACACTTTCCTCCCGCTGAACAATTCATATACACTCACTGATAAGGCTTATCATTCAAAGGTCCTCTGCCCCTGTTAGCATGCTGTCTGATGCAGAGCTGTAAACTGTGCCGTTCTAAGAACCATCTCCGCCCTATGGGTCATTCTGAATATGTGGTACTGTATAAGGAAGGTGGCCTTTTCACCCTAACTATTGGCAGACAGCCCTGAGTTTCCTGCGGTGCTTTATCATGAGCTCCCCAGCTCCCCACCCCCCCACCCCCAATGCTAACAGAGGGCGCCTCCCTTGATGGGTGCAGAGACAGTGAGTCTGCGGGGTTCATGAGATTCACGTCAGGACGAAGCCACTCCAGCCGTGCTCCAGTTCCACGCAGGAGTAGACAATAGAGCATGGATGGACAGCAGGTGACGTAGGAAGGTTTGCACTTATTCCTGTGTACGGCACATCCTGGAGCAGCCCACTAGAATGAAGCCTGCCGTCTTTGTGTAAAAACAAGCATCATGCAGGTCATTGCTGGTGGCGAGAAGGTTAGAGATTCCCCTGGACAGAATCTGAGGCCTCCTATAGAAACCCATCCTGCTCTCCTGCAGAGACAACAGAGGGCAAGACCATCACGGTGTCTATGACTACGACAGCCACCGAGAGCGGACGGCTGACCACTGTACACTGATTCTCTCTGGGCCGTCCTTGTAACCGTCTTAAAAGGTGGGGACTGTCAGAAGTATGAACAGGAAGCTTACAGATTTTTCTAAGATATTAAATAGCTTCTCCATAGACAAATCAAATGCTCTCTTAGAAAAAAAGACTGTGGGATGAGCAGGAATATAAAAATTAAAGGAACAGTGTGGGTCCTGGAATAGAGGCCGTATTCTGATTCTGTCAACTAAATTCACTGAAAAAACCTGAGCAAATGATTTCATCTCCATAAACCAAATCATCAACAAAAGAGAGAGGTTAGGAGCTTCTCTTTGAGTAAACGATGGATCATATCCAACAGCAGAGACGTAAGCATTGGCTCAATTGTTTACAAAGCTAAAGTATAGCTTGCTTCACACGACACGAATATGAACTGGAGAACCAGGCGTGGTACTTCATGCCTGCAATCCCTGAGGCAGAAGACTGAGGCAGGAGAACTCAGCATTAGTAATTTTAAGGTTAAATCTGTGTGTGTGAGTGTGTGTGTGTGTGTGTGGGCACGTGCACACACATAATGAAAATGAGGCCTGCCAAAAGTTCCAGACCAAGCTGAGCCATATAGAAGAAGATAAAGATGGGTCCTTTTTTTTTTTTTTTAATGAGGCTGGGGCCAGACGGTGGTGGCGCATGCCTTTAATCCCAGCACTCGGGAGGCAGAGGCAGGAGGATCTCTGTGAGTTCGAGGGCAGCCTGGTCTACAAGAGCTAGTTCCAGGGCAAGCTCCAAAACTACAGAGAAACCCTGTCTTGAAAAAAAAATTAATGAATGGTTGTTAGGGGCTGGAGAGATAGCTCAGCGGTTTAGAGCATTGCCTGCTCTTCCAAAGGTCCTGAGTTCAATTCCCAGCAACCACATGGTGTTCACTCACAACCATCCGTAGTGAGGTCTGGTGGCCTCTTCTGGCTTTCAGGCATACGTATAGACAAAATATTGTATACATAATAAATAAATAAATATTTTTTTAAAAAATGAGGCTGGGAGGTGGTGGTGCACACCTTTAAACTCAGTACTTGGGAGGCAGAGGCAGGAGAATCGCTGTGAGTTCGAGGGCAGCCTGGTCTGCAAAGTGAATTCCAGGACACAGAGAAACCCTGTCTCGAAAAACAAAAGCAAACAAACAAAATGAACAAACAGGGAGCAGTGCCGAGCCTGTAGCACCATTGGAGGTTCATGCTCTCATGAGCTTGTGTATAAAAGCCCTTCTCCCCTAGTTCCCAAGAAAGACTGATGAGCATGGTAAAACTCAACCCAATCCTAGCTCCTTGGCCATCTCCCAGGTCTCCCAGGTCTCCCAGCACAGGCTGGTGTCTTGAATTTCCTGCTTCTCTACTCATGCATGGGCTCTTCCATGGTCAACCACCCCAAACACTCAGGCCATACCTGAAAATTGGCTACAAGGCCCATTCCAACACAGCCCACAAATCCAAGAACCAACGACACCAAGTTGAAGACAGGAGTGCCGAAGGAGCAGGCCTCATTTTGCTTCTCCACTATTTTATATCTCATGTACATTGTAGCCGCACCTGAGGGGAAAAAAAGTTCAGTCTAGTGAATTTTAATCCCTGATTTTTTTTTTAATGAAAAACAAGAACACGTGTGAGTCATTTTTCATTTCATACAAAATTTCTTAATTATGGTCGGGAGTGTAACATGAGGCCTTGGGTTTGATCCCCAGAACAGGAAAGAAAGAAAAAAGTCCTGATTGCAACACATTTAGTTCTTCCATTCTCTGCCCCATGTGGTGCACACACACACACACACACCATCTTAGCTATTTTCATGTAAAGGGCATTGCACTCCATACATTATTCTATGACTTGCTTTTCTCACTTAACAATGGACCATGAAGCTTCTTTCAAATTACTGCAAAATAAATCTACACTGTCATTTTCCGGGGGCTTCAATATGGCGTGTGAGATCCTGTCTTTATTTTGCTCTTCTCTTATGGATGGCGTTCTACTTTGCTCCCCGGGTTTTCCAGCTACAACCCACACTCCCTTACCACTCCTGACATGTAAATTTGGGGTACGTTTTCAGAGTTGCAGTCTAAGGTTAAAAGAATAAATGTGTGCGTGCAAGAGTAAACTGCTGAGAGGCAGGTCTCACTCGCTCACAGCCTGTCTAGGCGGGAGTGTAACTGTGTGCATAACCCTTTGAAATGAACAGTCAGCTGAGGCCTGAAGACAGGAAACTTTAATTGGTATTTCCTCTTCAGTGGGCGGTAGCACTTTCAGCCTCCTGAACACTGCCTTTTGGTTTTTTGTGTGTCTTCTGAGAATTACATGACCACGTTGCATTCATATTCTGCCCCTGGGTTCAAGCTGTAGTGACTTGGACACATTCTGCGTGCCAGTAGCACTTTCAGCCTCCTGAACACTGCCTTTTGGTTTTTTGTGTGTCTTCTGAGAATTACATGACCACGTTGCATTCATATTCTGCCCCTGGGTTCAAGCTGTAGTGACTTGGACACATTCTGCGTGCCAATCTTCCGTCTGCTTCTGATAGGAAATGTTTTCTTCTGGGCGGTTTGTGAAGTGTGTAAAATGTGTGACCCTCACCTCTGAGAAGGTGGACTTTGTGCGTATTTACACAGTTAAGGCCACATTGGGCAACCTAGAAGAGACTTTATCTCAGCATTTTAACAAGTTAAAAACAAAGTAAATAAAAAGCAGTCTCGCAAGGGGCTGTGATGGCCCATGGCGAGAGCCCCAGCCTTTCAAAGCCTAATGAAGAACTGCAAGTTCTACCCAACCTCTGGCCTACACAGCAAATATAAGTGGGCCCGGCCACACAGCAAAGGGGAAAAGCTAAACCTGAACACTTAACCCCATTTTAAAATTTGACTGCCTGGTTTACAAGAGCTAGTTCCAGGACAGGAACCAAAAGCTACAGAGAAACCCTGTCTCGAAAAATCCAAATAAATACATAAATAAAATAAAATAAAATTTGAATATATTCATGGCGTGTATTGGGTCTAAAGCCAGCCAACCTATGGCTGGCAGTGCTCAAACAATTACTCGCCCTTCTAAGTCTGGTTCGGCAAAGATGCATGAAAAGGCTTTGGGACTGACTGGCCCTCTCTTTCTTTCGTCCCCCTTTCTCACCTCCAAACCCAATTGGGAGAGCCCACAAACAGGTGAGCAAAAGAAACTTTCTGCCAAGTTGCACAAATTCTAAAGTGGCCCACCACTCCCTCCAGAGGGTTCCTGGAGGTCCTCCTGGCCTGCTCTAGGAGGAGAAAGGAGGGATAGACTCTGAGGGTTCCACAGGGCAGAGAATAAAAGGATGGAAAGCTACCCCACCCCATCCCCGACCCCACCCCCCGCCCTCACAAGCCCCCCTCCCATCTGACACCTGTATCCTCCAATCCTCTGGTAGAAGATGAAGTTTTATAGCAATGGCAAAGTAATTGGAATCAGTGTACATGATATTAATTGGCGTATGACAAGATTGCATCCCATCCATTATTTCCACCTGACTTCTGAGGAATGGACAAGAATGTGTATATAATATATATATCTGAGACAGATACATACTGGTTTTATCTTTTTCTATTTCCCCTCACAAGTCAGCCATTCCCAGTCTATAAAAGGCAATCAAGTCCCCTGAGATGCTTTGGTTTGGATTTATGGATTAAACCCAGCTCTGCCTACATGCCAGGCAGGTGGTCAGTCACTCTTCTCCACCCTGGCTCCACGTGCCTATGTACAACATGTATTCCCCGAGCCCTGTAACAGTTCTTGACTGAGCAGATCGGTAGGTAGCTCAGGAACATGCTTCTAACCACAGCCGATTCCGTGCAAGCTGCCCTCAGAATACATTTTAAGACATGGCCTTAGCCGGGTGGTGGTGGTGCATGCCTTTAATCCCAGCACTCAGGAGGCAGAGGCAGGTGGATCTTTGTGAGTTCGAGGCCAGCCTGGTCTACAAGAGCTAGTTCCAGGACAGGCTCTAAAAAATTACAGCGAAATCCTGTCTCAAAACAAAACAAAACAAAACAAAACAAACAAAAAGACGTGGCCTTACACAGTGAATTCCTCACGTGCCTTGGTTACAAATGAGGCTTTTTTGTTGTTGGTGGTGATAGTGGCTTTTCTGTTGTCGTTTGATGGGGCTAGGCGTAGAGACAGGGTTTCCCCCGTGTCGAGACAGCCCTGGCTATCCTGGAACTCACTCTGTAGACCAGGCTGGCCTGGAACTCAGAGATCTGCTTGCCTCTACCTCCCAAACACTGGGGTATAAATAAGTTTTTTAAAACTAAATTTCCTGAAAATCGCATTCAGGCCCAGAGAGGTGACTAGGCAGTTAAGCAATCTTTGTTGCTCTATCACGAGGACTAGCATTCAGATCCAAGCACCCACATCGAGTGACTCATGAATGCTTCTAACTGTAAGGGATCTGACTTCCTCTTTCTAGCCCCTGAGGACACTGACACATGTATGTGTCTGTGAACACACACAAACAGTGAAAATTAATCTCCAACGTGTGCATGTTTATGCATGCACACACACAAACAATAATACATCTTAGATAAAACAAAATTTTAGAAGTTTGGGGTTTAAAACCACCTCTTACAAACTCTGTCCTAGATTACCAGATAAGGCATAGTTCTATAATAAGGCTATATATAATTCCGAATTTTTTTACATACTTTAGTCTCTCAAAATTCTAGTTATGCAGGTTGTGCTCTTTTGCAAAGTATACAAACTAAAGGTAACATTTCATTTCACATGAGACTGTAGATTTCTCATTTATAATAATCGTGCACTTACCAAGAAATGCGGAGAAGTTTATCATAAACCCAAAGATACCGCTCTCTGGTGGTGTGGTTCCCGTGTCACTGAGAAGGAAAAAATTAAATATCTAAATTATTTCTAAAGGAACTACAATTTCAACCCCTGGACAGATAATTGGTCTGTTTTATATTGGTCTTCCTAGGTGTTCACTGAATTCCGGAGGTATCACTTGAAGTTGTTCTAAGGTATTTTTGTTTGGGCTCTAAAGAAACCTAAAATTGGTTTTCCGCCAAAAAAAAAAAAAAAAGACATTTTGGGCTAGGGAGACGGATCTGTCAATAAAGTGCTTTTGGCAGGAGCGTGAGGCCTTGAGTTTAATCCCCAGCGTCCACGTGATACATCTGGGTGTGGTACCTCAATTCGTATTCCCGAAGGACCCACTGGCTGCCCAGACAGCCCAGATGAATCGGTGAGCAATCTTGTCTTTTTTTTTTTAATATTTATTTATTTATTATGTATACAATATTCTGTCTGTGTGTATGCCTGCAGGCCAGAAGAGGGCACCAGACCCCGTTACAGATGGTTGTGAGCCACCATGTGGTTGCTGGGAATTGAACTCAGGACCTTTGGAAGAGCAGACAATGCTCTTAACCTCTGAGCCATCTCTCCAGCCCCTTGCAATCTTGTCTTGAGAGGGAGAGCAATTGAGTGTGTGAGTTGGACCTCCAGAAGTATGTGCACACACACACACAAGCTGCATCTGCATATTCACATGTCCTCATGCATACATGAAGACATACATGGCCCTCAAAGGGAGTGGCACTAGGTGTAGGGCTTGTTGGAGCGGTGTGGTCTTTTTGGGGGAAGTGTATTACTGGGGAAGTGGGCTTTGAGGTCTCATATATGCTCAAGCCACGCCCATTGAGATGATCACTTCCTGTTGCCTGGAAGCCAAGATGTAGGACACTCAGCTACCTCTCCAGCACCACGACGAACTGAACCTCTGAACTGTAAATGAGCCAACACAATTAAATGTGTTTCTTTATAAGAATTGTCCTGGTCTTGGTGTTTCTTCACAGCAATAGAAACCCTAAGACACACACGGATAAAAGCTAGGAGGTGTTTAAAATAAACAGCAAGACTGTCTCTCAAACAACCCCACCTCGTAAGCTCAATATGAAGAATTGAGTGAGACTGTTTTGGAAACAAAAATAACTAAAAAATATGCTTGAAAATTCCATGGTTGAGGGCTGGAGAGATGGCTCAGAGGTTAAGAGCATTGCCTGCTCTTCCAAAGGTCCTGAGTTCAATTCCCAGCAACCACATGGTGGCTCCCAACCATCTGTAATGAGGTCTGGTGCCCTCTTCTGGCCTGCAGGCATACACACAGACAGAATATTGTATACATAATAAATAAATAAATAAAATTTTTTTAAAAAAGAAAAAAATCCATGGTTGAGATATTAAGGGCACACAAATGCACGCGTTATAATGACTAGATTTATGCACAATGACAAAGAATTGGACCATACTATCCATCACTGCTGAGCACTCTATGGAAGCCCACAGATAGGGACTCTCTCTCACAGCTGTCCTGGGCTACAAGCAGCCCGTAGGCCATGGGTCGACTATGCCTGTTAGAGTCTTTTATTATTATTATTATTATTTTAATTCATTTTTCTTTTTTTATTTTGTTTGCTTGTTTTTTAATATTTATTTATTTTATTATGTATACAATATTCTGTCTGCGTGTATGCCTGTAGTCCAGAAGAGGGCACCAGATCTCATTACAGATGGTTGGGAGCTACCATGTGGTTGCTGGGTTTTGAACTCAGGACCTTTGGAAGAGCAGGCAATGCTCTTAACCGCTGAGCTATCTCTCCAGCCCCTGCCTGTTAGAGTCTTAGAAGTATGCTCATTTGGTCAATTGTCTTAACAAAAAGAGGTACCTAGTAATAAAAGAAAGTCTTGCTGGGTGGTGATGGTGCTCGCCTTTAATCCTAGCACTCAAAGGACAGAGGCACGTGGATCTCTGTGAGTTTGAGGCCAGCCTGGTCTGCAGAGTGAGTTCCAGGCCAGCTAGGGCTATTACACAGAGAAACCCTGTCTCGGGAGGGGAAAAAAGAAAGCCTTAGGTGCAGTCTATCAGTTACTTAGGTGACTCAGAAAGCCGTTGTCAAAGAGCGAGCACACACAGGCACCCAGTTCCATCAGAGAAGCGTTGGGCATGTTCTATTTTCTTTTCATTGGTACCACCTTAAAACTGCCAGGCTTCTCACAAGCACCTTTTCCAACTTAAAAATGGTGACAGAGGTGCTCCCAACATGCAAAGGCTTGCACGAGCTCAGGACGCTTCCTCTTCCCAAACCAGCTTTGAAACGTATACGCTGGAGACCGATCACGTTGGGCAGACACACTTCCAAGCAGGCGGACAATTCTACTAGTAGCCCGTGCGTGCAGAAAGCAGGTAAAGTATGACACTTAACTCTTCAAGAGGGTGCAACGAGGCTAAGAGCGGCTGGGAACAAACACCCGGACTCCCAGGTGTTTCCATTTGGTGTCAGAGCCTGATTAGGGCAGAACATCCCCACTTCCCCAGCTTCCTACACTCAAGGAGGGCTGGAGAGGACTACGCATGTGCAGGCGGCCCTGTTGGGGCGCCCAGGGCTGAGCGGACCAGGGGGGAAGGGACAAGAGCCAGGAACACAATAATGGCAGAGACAGCCTGAGCCTGCGGGCGCCACATCTGCAGATGATTAAGTCTGATAAGGACATCAGGCCTTCCTGTCTCCGCCTCAGGGTGTAAAAAAAAAATAATCAAAACCAGTGAGGCGCCTCACAGTGCCTGGCATTTATTTGCTACCTTGGGCGTGCTAGGGACGGACAGGAGCTAGCATAGAGGTGCAAGTGTTTCGGAAGGGAAGGAACTAGCATAACAGGTCGGTCGCTATCCAAGACAAGTATGTGGCCTTATGAGGGGTAAAAAACGTTTGAAAGGTCGCGAGAAAACAACGAGATGGGGCACTCGTCTATTGATGGCAGACCAAGACACAGGTCACAAGCCTGGATGTAGAGTCCGTAGAGCATCAGATATGGGATCTGGAAGTTCAGACTTTCAGAATGGTATTTTCTTCTTGTTTATCTGTTTCAAACCATAGGGGCACAATGTGGCTCATTACCGGAGTGTTGTATGATTCATCTGAGGGAAGGGTTCGGTTAAAATAGGAAAATAAATAAATAAATAATAAAAATGAGTAAATAAATAAAACACATAAATAAATGGATGAATAAACAAATAAATGGACAAACAAATTCCTACAGGCAGAACATAAAGCACCCTGAAAATAACATATTTATTTACATATATGTTTATTGAATGAGTGACTCTCACTCTCCACCCCCAAAAGGACTAGCCAAGACTTGGTGGACACACACCTATAGTCCTAGGACTTGGAGGTTCCAGGCAAACTATGAATTCAAGGCCAGCTTGGGCTACATAGCAAGACTGAAAAAAAAAAGACCTAATTTAAATCACTTATTGAATATTAATTATGCATCTGGTATGGTTTTATGTTTACTGTACTGTTTGTAATTGCGCCTTCAGGAGCCTCGTTGAACGTTTATGGGGAGTGTCTTTGATAAATTCCATTTTATTCAGGGAGAAATTGGGTATGTGAGAGGCTTCACGGCTTGTTCAAGTTACAGAGGGATCTGTACCTAACGTCCAGCAACTTGATTCCCTGGCAGTCAAAGCAAGCCGTCAGAATGACTGGGGGGCGGGGGGGGGGGGACCACTGATGTGTTGACAAATGTTTACTAGACAGCCCTGGAAGATGCTTGGTTGGCTAGCATTTGCCAAGTCCTTACATGGGAAACAAAGGTTACCAAAATCCAAGACACTGAGCCTGGAGTTGGGAAGAGAAGTATACAGACGGTTCTCAGGAGAACATGGCTGCTGGCCCCAGCACGTCATAGGAAAGATCCCCTTGGAAATGAGAAGGGACCACTATGCCTTTGCTGTAGACCAGGAAGGGATTAAGTAGGTGAGAACTCTAGGCTCCTCAAACAACAGAATTTAACTGTAAAGTCTCTTTGACAAGCAGGATTCTGGATGCACAATAACTATCATCAGTGCGTTATTTCACACCCAGGAGGCTCATAGTTGGCTACTTTTTGCCACCATAAGCAGCTGTCAACATAACAGCTATTTAAAAATAGTATTATACTTTATTCACTGATCAATAAAACATACTGTAAACCATCAGAATTCATCAACAAGAAGTAGGTGTGGTTGCTCACTCTGTATTCCCGGGCTATGAGAAGACGAGGCAAGAGGATCACCTCAAGTTCAAGGCCAACCTAGGCTCATATTGTGAAACTCTGTCTCAAGAAAAAAAAAATCAGAAAACCAAACCATTTGAGTCACAATTTCCTACATCTATCAGATAAGAATAGTCAGATTTGGGGTTTCTACTCACAGATAAAACAGTACCTAATTGCATAAGCCAATTTTTTCTCAAGAACATTTCGTGAAAAGCTTCTAAGTAGCAAATAAAACCTGGTCATATCTACAAACTTTTGGAATAGTATTGGGAAGCAGGGGGTGGGCGAGAAGACAATGGAAGATGATCTTCTATGTGGAAGGGGTAAGGGACATGCAAGATGAAGACAGAGGAATGGGGGATGGAGATACCTTGTAAGAAAGAGATAAACAGCTGGGAGGTGGAGTCCACCTTTAAGCCCAGCACTCAGGAGGCAGAGGCAGGAGGATCTCTGTGAGTTTGAGGCCAGCCTGGTCTACAGAGTGAGTTCCAGTACAGACTCCCAAGCTACAAAGAGAAACCTTGTCTCAGAAAAGAAAAGATAAACAAAAACAAAACACAGTAGTATACATATTCCATAACTAAACTTGTCATTTTGTATGCTAACTTAAAATTTAATAAATAATAATAGTAAGTAATAAATAATAGCATTGTTTGCACATTATCATTAGTAAAAGTAAAAGGGTTCTTATTAGCAATGAAAAATGTCTTTATGCTGGGTTTGATGGTAAAGATTTGAATCCCAGAATTCAGGAGGCAGAGGCAAGCAGAGCTCTGTGAGT